ACTTGTTTTGTAATACTTACAAAATCATTAATTTATATATATATGTCTAATAATTTCATAAATTCATGAATTCATAAAATTCAGTCCTTGATTATTTATGTTTAAAAGAAAAGTGTGTGTGTGTGAGAGAGAGAGAGACAGAGAGGGAGAGACAGAGAGAGAGAGACTTAGTGAGATAGAGAGAACATGTTAGACAATTCTTTCAAGTGAAGAAAATGTATATATTGTAAATTTTATATGTGGACTTAAATACAATTCTAATTTCATCAAAATTATACTTAATCAAGTATTTTTGTATCTTATATAATTAATAAAGCAATATTATCACCATAAAACCTACTTTGAAGATCACAATAAGTCTAATGTTCCAGTCAAAACTAATCCACAGCATTGAACTACAGAAAACAGGTCATAGTGAATTTAAAAACTACTATGTTTTAAAGACAAAGAATAACTATTGTGTGTTCGACTACTGTTGTAAGTAACAATGAAAAATATAGCTATTAAGATGCACTCAAATATGAAGCAGCTCTACATGAGCACATATGTTACAGTTCACATCTAGGGCGAGGGTTTGTACGTTGATATTGGAAATGCCTGTTCTTAGAAAAACAACTATTTACCTTTTTCCAGGAGTATTTTTTATCATAAAATTTAATGTAAAATATATCATTTATGTGTGCCTCTATTAGTAATATTAGTTAGGATTAGGTAATTACAGTTATATGGATGCTTTATTGTGAACCAACCAGACCAACAATTCTCCCCAATGAATGTCTGTCTATAAAGTGTCTAGATAAAGGGGTGTATTGTTTAATTCACAGTGTCCCACTCTAGCTTTCAGGACTTGATTTTCTCTTTCTCCCTTTCCCTCAATTTTTTCTCTTAAATTTTATTTTGTTTTATTCTGACAGTGTAAGGCGTGGGGTGGGTTTGGGACACATGATGTGAAAGACACAAAGACTAAATAAAAAGAAAGTTAAAAAAAGAAGTCAGGAACTTTATACCTAACATGATTTGCCTATATCTAAATCTGTATAAAAGAGTAGCTAATGAATCCTTATTTCCAACATGCTTTTCTTCTCTGAAGTCTCACTTGGGAACAAAGAATATTTGCAATTCACAATAACACCAATTATTTTTTTTAATCTGTCTACTTCAGGATATGAGAAGTTGTATAGAATTAAATTTAAATTGATGTCATTCAAAATGTGATTTCTTTGTTAGAACATCTCTCAGTACCACCACACATGACTATATTTACAAACCTACAGAAAAAGAAGCAATGTGGAGGAAACCATCTTTATTTTTAAATGTCGAGTTGCAGTAAGATCGTCTCTCATTGTACATAATTTGTATAATGTAGTTTTCCACGATGTAATACATTATCGATAAAGGAATACACTTATTTGAAGTTTACTTTAGGTTAAGCACAAGTATGAAATTTATAAGGCACATAAGAACAGCCGTAAAACTTTTGGGATTTCAGTCTATTTCCACTTCTAGAGAACACACATCAAATTTGGCACCTTTCTTAGCAATGAAATAAATCACAAAATAGTAGGTGTTTTCTGGCTACTCAGAAATCCTTAGATAACATATTAAGCAGACTGTAGTTTGATGGAACTCAGCAAAGAAATTAGTTTCAAGTCTTTTCTGTATTGCAAATGACAACCTCTTTACTATGTAACAAAAAATGCAGATAACGTCCAGTAAATAAAGACAGGACTCGTAAACTTCAAGTTTACTTCTGTGAAGTCAAGTGTTGGGAACTATGTTGCTGAGCATGTGATGAGACAGAAAGTAGCAAATTCCCTACATTACTATAAATGATGGTGTGGATTTGGATAAAGATGCAAAAATTTTATGTTAAACAACAAATATTTTATAACGGTAGGTCATAAAACGAAATACAAAAGTGATCCAGAACGTATCTGCATGCATATATACACATAATAAATATTTGAAAATAGTAATAAAAAGAAAAGTCTAATTTAAATAATACTGATGAAACTACCTCATCAATGGTGTCAACTGGATAATTTATGATTATTGCATAGCAGTAGGATAGGTTCTCATAAAAGTTTGTAGCTTCATACAGTCCAAAGGCAGTTATATAATATACGAATGCATGTAAACCATTAAGAGGCACAAGGATGCCCAAAGTGATTATTCATCAAATTGTTTCCCATTAGAAAATGAACTTGTTCTCATAATGAGATTCAAAGTGCGAATGTCACAATCTGAGTCAGAGCTGTGTGTCTAGGGCTCACTGGTGCATGAACAACCACAAATGTGTTTCTATTTAATAGTTCAGTGATAATGACAATCTTTCTGCTACTTTCCTGCATTATTTTTAACAGCCATCTTGTTTTCAAATTTCACCCCTAGTAAAACAAATAATAGACAAATAATATATATATACTTGCATTTCTCCTTTAATTCTGAACTATAAAATATATACACATATATGCATGTATTACATGTCTGTATATACAATGTTCAAATGCTGGCAGCTTTTATCACGGTTGTTTAAAATTTATTAGGGTACATCATTCTATTTGTTCTGATGAGCCTTTTTCTATTGCAAACTTTCCAAAATTATCCAAGTGTCACAGTTACAGAATATGACTAACACTATACATTTTAGACAACCTTATGTAATAAATAACAGTGGAATAATATTAATCTTAAATGAAAGTAAAGAAAATTACACACCTAATATTAAAGATGAGTGTTTTTACATAGTATTAGTATATTCAGAAATGCTGCAAAATAGAAAGATACTCACATTTGACTCTAAGGACAACAACAACCAGAGCTGGACCCAAAAAAAGGATAATGATTTATTGAACCATCATGAAGCAATGCTGGAACCTGGCATTTCAAAAGCCAGAGAGATTTCCCAGAGCATAAAGAGCACTGGATGCTCTTCCAGAGGTCTTGAGTTCAATTCCCAGCAATCACATGGTAACTAATAATCTTATAAAGTCAGCAAAGAAATTAACTGTCATCACTAGAAAGCTAAAAAAAACCATGAACTTTACTATGTATAACTGATTAAGCTGCCAAAGTGGGAAGTGACAATATCCCATGGACACCAAACATTTCTTGTTATTAAATATATTGAAATATGTAGAGTGAAGGATGTTTGCAGGGGCTCACTCCCTTCCTTGTTTAAACCCAATTTAATTTGAAACAGAAAAAGAAAAAAGACCAAAATGTACTCTTTCCCAGTTTTCACTTTTCAATCACAAAAGTGGAATTGCTAGAATCTCCTTGGTCTGAAAACTCACAGCAGTATAACTGTAGAACGTAGACTTGAATTTTTTTCCAATATGGTCTTACTAATTTTATATACATGTGACTTTTTTGAAATGTATTATATATGTGTGTCTTTTTTGGCAGGTTTTGGGAAGTTAAACTTTTGTAATGTGTTGCTAAGGATGGTAACATCTTATTAATAATGATAGTTCATGAAATAATTAGGATAATTATTTCCAAAAGGTTATAATCAATACAGTTTGAATATCAGTGATAAAAAATTTATCCACTTAATTTTGATGATATATCCTTAAAACCTACAACTTTTCTTGTTCACTATTTTGGTACTACAGTTTATTTCAGTTGAATTATCTTTCCAAAGAGTGTATGATATATGCATACATTTCTAAACTTAGAGACAATATAGATTTCTTGTTCCATCCATTGTTTTTCCAGGCTCTGAGATTATATATATATATATATATATATATATATATACACACAAAGCAATCCAGAACAACCCTTTCTTTTGTGAAAGTTGGCAATATCAAGAATTTATGAGGGATACTCCTCCTGCTAGTGAGATGAGAATGAGACTCAATATGCTTTAAAACCAAGTATAAATCAAAGCTGGTGAAGGAAAAACTTGAAAAAAAGCTATAGTCCTATAAAATACCCAAACATTTGTGATTTTTGCGTTTTATACCTCACCAGATGATGGAGAGCAGAAAGGAGAGAAAGTCAAATTGCAATCAATAATTTTAACTGGCTTCCTAGAGCTCATCGTTAGTGACAGCTGAAAGAACGGAACACTTTGCAGCAAATCAATTCTTCTTTACTCGAATTTTGTTTGTTTGCTTATAGTAAGAAAATGCACATTGGAAAAGAAAGGAAGATATGTAAAACCAATATGAGCTTCAGTTTCTATATTTAAATCCCAAATCCATTACCTCATCATTTGTGATACGTAGATCAAATTTCTTAATCAATAATAGAGAAACATCATTGTCATCTGGCAACTGATGCTTCTCTCAGCATTTATCAATGTCATTTTGACAATCCAATTTTCATTGAGAAGATGCATCATACCCAGAAACCACAAATGATGGTTTCAGGGAAATAATAGCAAGAAAACCTCCATTTTGTTTATAGGAAACTGCCATGAACTGGAATAAGGAACTTCTACATTTTCCCTCATTTCATACTCATGATTTTAGGTTTCTGATTAGCTACTCTGGTTATATATGATTAAATGGCACTATGAAGAGACCAAGCTTAAATACATTGGCCCTCATTAAAGCTGAACTGCACATACTTTTCAGGTCTCAAAGTTTCTAGTCTTGAGAACAATACGTTAATTGTGTTGACTATTCTATTAAATGACTTTGTACTATGTCTAATGTTATGTCAACTTTTTATTACAGCCTATCCTGCTACAAATATATTATGTAATTAAAAGTAGCAGCAAATATTTTTAGTTATCAAAATTTGTGATTTTATATATAATGTGATTAATTAGTCATAACCTCAGTCGAGCATCTAATTATAGTAACCTCAGTTGAGTATTATTATTTGTATTTTTTAATTAGATAGTATTGGTTCCATTCAATTGTGTTGATTCTATAATGACGCTCAAAATTAATGCGATGCTTTGAAAGGTTCATAAAACTTATGGGAAACATACACAGATTATTTTAATATAAAATATTTAATGCAATAAAATTGTGTATTCAATTGCTCAATGAAATATAGGAGCTGAAAAATGCCTTCTTCCATGTTCAATGTAATTTCAGCTGCAAAAGTCTCAGTTCTTGTGCCCTAGTAAAGGTTTAAGGCTGGGGCACAAGCAGAAAGGAACAGTCAAGGTTGATTTCTACAAGGGAGACAGTGAAAGCAGAAAGTCAACCCACCCTCCATACTAGACTAAGAATCAGGCAATATGTACTGTACAGACCTGCCGTAGCATCAGGGTTTTACGACTTGGTCTACGAGTTCTCCCCCTTTACCATCTATGTGGTAGTCAGGATTTAACACATTTTTTTCCATAAACAGAAGCTTTTTAAGAAACCATCTCAAACCACCATTCTGTTTATACATCTCAATGCAGAAGAAGTAGAGATATTGAGACTTAAACAGTGTTTCAGAGTATGTGTGTCTCTTCTAGTGGACTTCAGTTTCGTTTCCAGTACTCACGTTAGGTAGTTTACAACTGCTTGTAATTTCTGTTCCATGGATGTATGGCATTCCAAGTCTCCACAGGTTCCTACATTCATCATGGAGATATGGATATCTTAAATGAAATAAAATTGAATAAAAAATGATTATAATAATTATTTATATTATGCTTAAATTTGAGAAATCATACCCCATAATGTTGAGAAATCCTTTTGGAGAAAAGATATCTTATATCTAGTAATGTTTGTAAATAAAAGAATTCACTATGCCAACTACCCATGAACAGATGAAGCAAAAAAGATTATCATTAAATTTCTCATAAATTTAAAAAAGCAAACACTATCTTACAGTTTTAATAGATAAATATACCAAGATATCCAATGGGCCACAAACTTGTGTGTGTGTGTGTGTGTGAAATGTGTAATTTAGGTAAATATAAAATAATATGATTTCTTGTGACTTAGTCAAACATTCTTTACATAATTTATTCTCTCCATCAATTACATTTTGTATTTCCCTTCCTTTCCGACACCCAATTCAACTCTTAACTTTTTATGATGTTTTCTTCATATTGACTCTGTTTTCTCCCTTATACCCTATTCATAAGAAGCAATTACATCTCATCATATTATAATCAGACATCTTTGGTCTTCTGGACTCCATGATTACAAACTTATATGATTGTGCAGGATTCTAAGATAACTGATCAACATCTCAGGGTTCAGATGTTCGACTAGAAGCTTTAATTTTGACTGCAGTCTAATTTCCTTTTATGATTTGGGACAATATTTTCTATATTTCAAACTGACTGCAATTTAGACATCTTTTCGGAAATCATTATTCAGCATAACATATATATCTGTGAAATATTTTTAAATGTTTTCAACATTTCATATAGTATTTCTAAACTAGAAAAAGCCTTGTAAATGTTAAAACCAGATTCTCATTAATAACAATGAGTTAAATCTTCTCTAGCAATAATTTGCTTGAATCTCAGTGTAGGTAGGATGAATAAGTATTACGAGATGAACACATTTCAGAAACTATTCTTGAATGTGGGATATTAGAAAATCCAATCTACAGTGAATTAACTGTCAATAAGATGTGATGAGTGGCACATTACATTCTTGGTTTTTAGGTGTTCAGGAGATTTAATTTTTTCACAGTGGAATGAGCAGAGTAACACAGGAGGCTATGGAAAGGGGGTATAACAGAGAGTTCATTCCTAAGGATTTTATTCAACTCTTTGATTTTTTTTTATTTGAACAACCTTAAATACATATTGTCATCATCTATAAAGTGCTCTTTTCGTAATTAGTTAACAAAAAACATTTTGGCTCAATGAAAATTATCTTTACTCTGTTATAAGTGACTGAGCACACATAAAATGTATTCTCCAAGCTATCTCATTGGAACACTTTTTTCTTTTATTGAAGAGATTATTTTTCTTAAATAATTTATATTGATTACCTGTCCCCTCCCTCTCTTTCTTCCAATTCCTCCCTCACTGTTCTGAGGATTGACAAAATATTATTTACACTTAACATACAGAGAATAATTCAGAGTGAGGGAGGGCTTCTGCTAAAGAAGGGAAAGAAATTAGAATTACAAATTTCCCTTTGCATTTTAACTGTTCCTTCTATATTGAACTGTTCCTTCATAGAACGATGTAGGAACACAGATAACTTCCAAGAGCATCACAAGGTTCATGAGATCTCTCCCTAAGGTTATGCAATTAGTAAACTCTGGCTAAGAGGAAGGGCTCTTCTATGGAATACTTTCTCTCAAGGCATGTAAAGAACAAAAGCCACCCATCCTCTCTTACTCTCCATTCATATTTAGATGGGCTCTTTGGTGATGTAGCCCATAGAGTCACCAATCCCTCATTTTATAACTCCAATAAACTCATTGTTCATCAAGGTGGACTGGAGTATAGTCATCCTGAAAGACTCTCGTGGGCGTCTTCCCTCGGGAGAGACCCCATGCCCAAAGATCAGTCGAAAACACGCAGCCGGATGCAAACAGCAAGAGGTTTATTGGGGATACGCAGGTACCTGGGGCAACCAAGTCTCTCGGAGGACTTGCGCGCCTGCAGGTTGGGGGTGAGGGGTTTTTATAGGAGAGCAAAAAGCGAGGTTTACAGAAGCGAGATGCAGGGTGGTAAATTCTTAACCTAGATAACAATGAGGGGACTACTCAGCGGTTTACTGTTCCTCTCATCCTGCCTCCCCTTTTCCTGGCTGGTGACCAGATGTCTTATTGCACAGCCCCTGACTCATGACGAGCCCCGCTTTATACGTGACTCAGGCCTCGCAATCCTCTCTTTCTTTGTTTTCTATGGCCAGTTCATAAATTCCCTGTCTTGCAGCCAGATAAGGCTGTCCTTGCTCTAACCTCAGGTATCTTTGCTCAGCATTCCGGAGGCCCTGAATTCCGGAGGCCCTTGATTAAGCCTGTTATTTGCTCAGCATTCCAGAGGTCCTGAGCTAGTTATCTGTGAACCTTTGCAAAACGGTATAACTGTGGTTAGAACGAGGGGTCCTTCAATCCTTTTGGTCTGTTTTTAGCATACTATCTGTTGTGGGCAGCTCCTGCTCATATCTCTTCAGTATAGGTTTCAGAACATCCATAGTCACGGTTTAGTATTTGTGTGTTCAGACTGAGCTGTCAAGTCTTTGGAGTCCTTTGTTTGACATATTGGAGAACTGACTAAATATACCTATTATGAGGTGTACTTTAAAATTTTGTATGAAGTTTATTTGATAAGGGCAAATATTTTAAAGAAAAATGCTATACTAGTTCTATTCTATACTATTTTATTTTAACTTCAAAATATTAGTTTTACAAGTTAACTGGGAATATGACCTCAGCCGAAAATTTGAATGTCAAGTTCACATTAGATGTTTTAATCCTTATGATATAACACATTTTCTTAATGCATGATAGCAATATGTACCTACCGCACATGCATACAGCTTGTTTTGTTCAGATCTATAAACAGTTTCCGCACCCTCATCCCATGGCCTCCAGGTACCTTTTGAAGTCCCATGATCATGAGTCTCCTTTGCTCCAGGCTTTTGTGCTGTTTTGCTTTGTTTTTCTTTGTTTCCACCCAGGAGGGAGGCATGCAGCGCTTTTCTTTCTGTGACTGCCATACTTAACTTGACATTGATATTTTTTTTAACCTTTCATCCAATATAAATATATTTACAAAGCAGTAATAATTGTATAGATCATTTTAACACAACAGATGATTTGTTTCTTGAACTATTACAAATGAATTATGTTTGATTTTCACAGTACAAAGTAATACATATACTTCTAGGCCCAGAGAACTGTTTAGTAATAACATCTGAAATTAACAAAATGATCTGTGTCCTTGTTAAATTCTCAGCCTGGTGACTAATTTGGTATACAAACTTAAGCCTATTTTTTATAGAGCTTAACAAATTCATATCTTTACTTGTCCAAATTTGCTTTCCATCCAGATAATTTCATTTGTGAGTTTTCTTTTCCATGTTGTGTTTTTTTCAGTCACCAAAGTGTGTATTTCCATAGAATTTAAAAAGTCAAGTCAGACAGGAATGTGTGTATTCCTTCATATCATAGCCCCACATTCAACGAAATTGTTTAAATTGGGGTACTTTGATCTATGATAGAAAACTTAAAAGATTCATTGAGTGCAATTTCGTATGAATCCACTCCTGTTCCTAGACATGAGGACATTTGAGAAAAGCACATAAATTACTAGAAGCCTGATCAAGAGCCCTGATATCCTAGTTGTTCAGAATATATATTTAAGATTGTGTTAATGTATCTTATATTAAGATTATCACACTCATTACCTTTATGAGGCTTATTTTCATGTGGCATCATGTAAAATGTTAATTCTGTATATTTTCATAAGGTTCTGCTTACCTGCATTTCTAAAATGTTTTCAGATGATTGGAAATATATCACAAAAATATTTTAACACCTTTAGGCATTGAATAAATATCTTTAAGAATAAATGTGGTAAATGCATAATCATTGTATCTGTAAAAATAGATGTAGTTTTATAGATGCATAGGTAGTCATCCTATCTTAACAATCATAAAATACATCAAGAAGTCACATTTTCTTAAGTTTTTAATTATGAGAACTTATACATGGTTCAACATTTTCTCACGTCATAAGTTTGTGTTGCTAATTTAGTGATCTCTGTTGGGTCCATGGGAGTCACAAAAAGATGGGGACAGACCGCCAAAGACTAATAAACAAGAAGTAAACTTTATCCCAGGAATTTAAAAAATTAAAAAAAAATAAATCCCCATGGGGAACAAAAATCTTATCAGCTAGCTGAGACCACAGCCAGAGATGGACTTGTAAGGCTGTGGAAAAGCTTTGTTTTGAACTCCTCCTTTTATAGTAAGCATCAGGCAATAATCAAAGAATATTTACAATCTCAAGGTAAAACTCAGATACAGATTGCCCTTCTTTGCAATTTTCATTAACAGAGTTTTTCAGTTAAACTAGTGATTGTATTTAGTTCATTGCTTTCCCCTGGCATTTCTTGGTAGTGTTTACCAAGGCTCTGCACCTCCCCTGCACTGCCAGTTTTGAATTTCAGGGAAGGGTATGGGACAGTATAAAACCAAGAAGTCAAGTGATGTATATCCCATCATTTAAAAGTTAACACAACTCACATCGATTTCTGATCATAAGTGGTCATTGGGTTATCTTAAGCTGATCCTCAATTTGTAGAATGACCCTAAATTTTCAGAGGGCCACTTTAGCCTTGCAAATAGAGCTATGGGTTGTAAAGCAGAGTAACTCACTGTTAATAGTTAATCCTTAAACTACTGAGAAAGCTGCTGACATCCTGCTCTCATTCTCCTAGATTTACAATTATATTTATTTATTGATACGTATTTTTGGAATCTACATTTTTATATTCTTATTCCTGGACTCTTCAGTTCCAACACCAGAAAAATAGGAATATTACTTTTTCACATGCTCAGTTTATATCAGTCATAAAGATATGAATATATATAAGCTTTCTTACAACATGTTTGTGACTCAGAAATGGAGACGTATGAAGAGTTGTGAAATTTGTGTTTGTAGCTCATTTTATAA